TTAGTATATATATATATATATATATATATATATATATAAAAATTCTAAAAATATAAGATAAAAATAACATTTTTCTAAAATATTATTATGTATATAGACAGATAGATTTTTATTAAAAAAGATTACAAGGAGATTATGAGGGATTGGCGCTAGCATCGCTACATGGTTCGTTTTCATCGAATGTGCGACGTGCGACCACATTTCTTCCCGCTTCCGTTTCCGAAAGCTTGTGTACGATTTTTTGAGGTTTTATAATTTTTCACTCAAAGATCTATCTAATCTGTTAAAATCAGGACATGTTAAAAAAATTACAGTTTTTCTAAATCGATTATAATATTAATTTCTATACTTTCTCGTGCGTATCATGCGAGAAAGATTCGAGAGATAATCATTTCCTTTAACAAGTCACCTAACCTCAATACCTGATTTTAAATTTTTTAAATTTTATATAAATAATTTTTGATTTGTATATTATCTGATTTGTATATTATCTTGAAATATACAACATAAAATAATGTATAAAATTGTTACAGATTAGAATCAGAAGAAATCTAGAAGATGGCCAAGTCCAAGAATCACACGAATCATAATCAAAGTGAGTATGCTTAGCAATAAATAATTGTTAAATCTAGAGAGTTATGCATCAGTATTGATATTTTATTTAATTATATCAATTTTTGTATTTCTGAAGTGACGTTATAAATATAATGAGATATTTATTGTCTTTTACAAATTGAATGTTTGAGTTATTGTTATTAAATTGTTGATTTTTGTTTCTTTTTAGATAGGAAAGCGCATCGAAATGGTATCAAAAAGCCCAAGAGATACAGACACGAGAGCACACTTGGCGTAAGTTTTATTATTATATTTTATCGCGGTTTTATTAGCATAATCATATTTTAAATTTTTTACATGCTTGAGCGAGGTAAAAGAGAAAGAATGTAAAATATTACATATGATTAAACAGTTTCTAGTGAATAACTATAGCATATATTTAAAATAATTTAAAGATTTCTATTCACTCATGCTTTATAGAATCATCATATATGTATCTTTTGTCTTTGCTTGTAATTCTCACCTTTTGCTTTATGCCTTTTTCAGATGGATCTGAAATTCTTGAGAAATCAACGCTTTGCGAAGAAACATAACCTAAAACCAAAGGCTCAAAAAGCGAGGACAGAACAGCGAAAAACTCTTCGTGCAGCTAGACAGGATAAGAAATAGACTCAGTGTAAATTAATATGATTTTGTCAAAATAAATCGAAAAAAACATATATGGTGTCAAAAATTAGTTTCACCCCCATCTCTAATTCGTAATTTTGTATTTAAATCAATTAAGTAATTTTTTGACTAAAATATAAATTTTTTTGTTAACGGTAAAATACAAAGGAAATAATTAGAGACGGCTCCAATCTCGTTTATTGTTCTGTGCATTTACGATTTACGACACTCACAGCTCGTGCAGCTACATATTAATCAGTCAATATGGCTACAGCACAGATGTTGGAGGCACATGATGATACGAAAATTATAGATAATTCGAAGAAACCGGAAAGAATTTTATTGTTTAGCGGCAAAAGGAAATCCGGAAAGGATCATATTACTGATATTTTATATCGCAGGTATGTATTAAGATTCCATAATTATTCATACATGAAATAATGTGGAGTGGCATTACTCAGCAGAAAAGTGGCATAAGTTGACATAAGAAAATTTTAATATAGGTAAAACCAAATTATATTGAACACATATTTGCAATTGAAGAGTATATTATCATTCATTTCGGATATGTCTAATATTTCTTTTAAGAAAAAGGATATTGTTAATATATGTAATGTTTTTGTCATTGAAGAAAATTTTATATTATTTGTGGTGATTTTCAGAATTGGTTCACAAAGGAGCACGATTATACGTTTGTCAGGACCTATAAAAACGCACTGGGCAAAATCTTTAGGCCTTGATATCGTTCAATTACTGGGACATGGAGAATATAAGGAAAAGTATCGACTTGAAATGGTTAAGTGGGGCGAGGACATGAGAAGGAAGGACTATGGCTACTTCTGTCGTGCTGCTATTGACATGTATAACGGTACAGCGAATCGAAGACTTCTTTATTAAAACCAGAATTAGTGTAAAGTATTCATATGATGCTCTTGATATATTAATTGTTAAATATTGATAAATTAATTATTAAACATCCTTAAATAAATGTATTTTCCAGCGTGGGACAGGCCGATATGGATAATAAGTGATGTCAGAAGGAAAACTGATATCAAATGGTTCATTGAAAACTTTGGGGATGCGTGCAGGACTGTACATATAGTCTGTCCTGAGGAAGTCAGACAGAAACGTGGTTGGGTCTATACACCAGGTGATAATATATTGTAATGTAATTTTAAGGAATTTTGAAACATGAAATCTTCAAATTCTGTAAATCACAATCTAATCACTGCAGGTATAGACGATTCAGAAACGGAATGTGACTTGGACGACGTGACTAACTGGGACATCATGCTGGAAAATGATGATACCAACGATATAGAAGTTATATTACAACAACTGTTAAGTCTAATTAGATAGCAAGAATTTTTTCATTTTATCGAATACACAATAAATAACATTCCATAATTTTTCTTTGTTCTTTTTTCTTGAAAAACAAAAAAAACATTGATAATAATTGTGGTGTACAAATTGGTAACAAATTTGTTTAGTGCGAATAAAGCTTACTAACAGAATCTGATAGTTGACTGTAAAAACCGAGTGATTTGTCACTTCATAAATATTTAAAAGGAATACATTATTTAAATAGATAGAACGTCAAATTCTGTTGGTTCAGTCAACATAATCTTATCTTATTACATTTCCGCTAGTATTTTGCTGCTCAAATTTGTAGCAAACACATTCCATACAGCACATTTTATCCAAGGGATATCTTGGGAATATCTTCTGGAGTATTTAGAATACCTCTTGGTCTGTGCTATATTTCGCAAATTTGCAAAAGCCATTTTAACAGATTGACTATCATAATGCATTCTTGCAATAATACATGCATTTATGTGTGCATGTACGTATGCGTATATGACGTATGTGACGTTTCATGACAAGACATTTTAATTATTTCTCATCTGCAAAATATAAACGCTCCGAAAACATAGAATAATGCAGAGTAGAATGACAACAAAAGAAAGTGAGAAAAGGAACGTGGAATTTCATCGTGTTATATCGAAAAACAATATGGCCTCTGCAATGCTGACGCTGACAGGTTAGATTCGGAGAGCTTAATTTTTAACGTTATTTCAACTATTAATAATTCTAATAAAGTAATATTTATTGATTTTATAGGATGATTTCGTGAAAAATGAGTACATCGTGTCGTTTACTTTAAAGTGCTTTTAATCAGATGAGATTTATTTCAATGTGCCACGACTTTTGAGGATAAACTAACGTAATTATTTTGTTTTTATTATTTATTTTTGTTTTAAAATTTTTAGGCCTGTTTTTTATAATTGAACTAGTGTACAATTCGTTATACTTAAAATGAAGTAAATATATTTCAACTTTGGTTAAAGAGAAAGAAAATCCAGTACACTAATAAAAAACAAGTCTACCGCTTAAATAATATTTGCGATTTGACCAACTTCATATTTTAATTTTTTATGTTTCTTGCTGCTATTCATACGCATCATATTGTCAGGTCGAGAAAGGCCAGTTGAATTAAAACCATCAAATGAAATAATGGAGCATAAAATTCCATCTGGTATCCTGGATGATCTCAGCAGGTTATTTTCTTTAAAATATTTATTGTATGATAACAATGATAGTATATTTAATATAAAAATAATATAAAAAATTGAATTAATTACATTTTTAACAGAATCAGTTTTATATTTATATAATGAATTTTGCTTGTAGTCGATTCATCATCAATGTGCCTGAAGAGGAGAGAAAAGATTTGGTACGAATCTGTTTTCAAATCGAATTGGCGCATTGGTTTTATCTTGACTTCTACTGCACAGAAGAGTATCCTAAACTGAGATCGTGTGGTATGAAGGAATTTGCCACTCACATATTTCAGCACATACCTTTTTTGAAACCACATGTACAGCATATTGATGCTGTATTGGAGCAATGGAGAGAGTACAAACAGAATGTGCCAACGTTTGGGGCGATTGTGTTGAATGAAGATATGACTAAAGTGCTTTTAGTGCAAAGCTACTGGGCAAAGAACAGTTGGAGTTTTCCCAAGGGAAAAGTAAATGAGGATGAGGAACCCTTTCATTGTGCCATTCGAGAAGTTTTGGAAGAGACCGGCTTTGATATATCCAATTTAATAGATAAAAATGAATACATCGAATCTGTAATAAATGATCAAGTAGTAAGGTTGTATATCATTTCGGGCGTGCAGAAAGATACAAAATTTCAACCGAAAACACGTAAAGAAATAAAAAATGTCGAATGGTTCGCCGTAGCGGATTTGCCTAATACAAAAAAAGATATGACTCCTAAGTTGAAAATCGGCGTCGGGCCAAATGCGTTTTTCATGGTAGTGCCATTTGTCAAGTAATTATCTGACTTTCTAAAAAATCCATATATTTAATAAAAAATTGTTTATTACATGTGTATTAATATCGCTCTTTCATCCAGGCGAATGAAGCGGTGGATTCAAGAGAAACAGCAACGTGAGAGAAACGCCATCGCAACTATAAGAAGACAGAGACACAAATCGTTGGGGGACGTCGAGACGGTTTCGAAGAGCAAACGGCAACAGCAATCACTCTTTCATCACTTTTCTACTTGTCCACCACAAGTAAATGTCACATCCTATATCTTTTTTTCATATTTTAATATTAATTTTTACATGCATTCTCATGTATGATTTATAGACCGAAGTCCCCGACTTCAAAATTGGCCGTCAATCAAATACGTCTCCGGCCCGCAGTCGTCGTGGTGCAAATGACAATAAAAAGGATACTGTTCTGAAAACAGCATTTAAACGAAATCTATTTGGAGACCAAGAAGAAGATCAATCATCTCTTGCAAAACATTTGATAGACAGCCCTGCTCAACAGCCATGCTCTTTTTTAATTGATCCCGCAATTCAATCGATCAAATATAATGATTTTAGTTACGAGGCGTTACCTTTGAAAAAGGAAGCAGAAAGTACGCTACGTTTGCTTACAATCTAAATTTTACTTCTACTTAATTCAAGAGATCTCGCTTAGAAAATATCTTACAAATGATATATAATAATAATACATTCAACCAATTATCTAAAATTAGATATTGTATGATTTTAATATTATATTTTTAATAATTAATATTATGTTAATATGATATATATTCATATATCATAATTTTTTCTTTCAGATTTTCGTAAGAAGAGTTTGCCGGAAGGAAATATCAAATCATTGCTGTTCGGGGAAGCCGCACGCAAATTGCAAAAAGATTTTAAAACCATTCCACCGCCCCCCTTTGTAAGTCTCGAACACGATAGTCCACATTTAACGAAAAATTACATGAACAAACCAAATTACTCTACCTATGAATTTCGTGCAAAGAGTTGGGATAATTTTAGTTTTGATATCCAGGCGATATTACAAGCTTTAAAATAGCATACATATAATATCTCAGAAAAAGTTACAAAATAGGAGAGGTATAGATATTAATTTAGAGTTGAGAATTATTAGTTCACCTATCATTTGACTTATCATTTATTTTTGTTGGTCCTACACGTTTTTAAAACGTGTAGCTATATCTATTCAGTTGAATATATTATCTAATATTGATAAAATCATTATTAGATAATATTGATAAACTTGATATATTTGAATTTATTTTAATGATCTCGAAACTTTCAGAGTATCTTTATTAGTTTATATATGTCTCCTGATACAATTCTATCATGTAACATGACGATAAACTTGAAATGCAAATTCACTACTTTGAATTTGCTATTATCAAAAGAATCTGATTATATTTAGAGGAAAATCTACTTGGAGGAAAATATCAAGTTGCTTTTTTCGGGAGAAATCATGTCAAATTGTAAACGAAATTTTAAGTATTTCAAGTTTTTTTACAAATTGAAACATGATAGTTAACTTCAATTTGTTGAACTTACCAAATCTTGGTAATCCAATATTTTCGATATAGATTGTAAGAAGTTATTTTTAAGTCACGTTGTACAAATAATAGTAATTATTTATATTTATAATTATTGAAAGGAGATTATAGCGGATAAATCACTTGATATACATATTTCGATT